GTATATCCCAAACAGCTCATATAGATAATTATAATACGTAATTTCTAATTGTACTAGTACTTATAATATATATTTTACAATGTTTCAATCTTTATTATTTTACATAAAATATTAATATAATACAAGTATCAAATTTGTCATTTTAAAGTTAGAAACTGGTTTGAACAGATTGCGATTTACACAATATTATAGAACTGCTTTAATGGGACATGCAATTACTGCTCTCAGATATAGTGATTATAATATTTTTACTAATCAACTAAATATTTGTACTAAAAAGCAAGACTGTATCAATAAAATATATCTTATCAGTCTTAAACAGATGCTGTTTTGATGTGTTTCATTATAGTATCAACAACTTCTCTACTAGTAGCTTGTCCACCAAGGTCCCGAGTATGAACACCTTGATTTATAGTTTTATTAATGGCATTCTGAATTAAAGTAGCATGAGTCTTGTGTCCAAGATGACGTAACATATCGACGGCAGCATTTAACATCGCAATAGGATTAGCAATATTCTTTCCAGCAATGGCTGTACCAGTGTTACGAGTACCAGGCTCGAACACTGTATAATGATCACCATAATTTTTACCTGCTAGCAAGCCAGCACCACCTAACAAACCGCATACTACATTCGATACAATTGCTCCATATAAATTGGTCGTTAATACAATATCAAATTGATGTGGATTGGAGACCAATTGCATGCACGTATTATCAATGATCATATTATTATGAGTAATGTCTGGATAATCTTTCGCAACATTTTTCGACGTTTCTAAGAACAATCCATCAGATAGCTTCATAATATTTGCTTTGTGAACTGTGGTAACCTTCTTCCTTCCATTTCGTCTAGCATATTCAAATGCGTATCTAGCAACACGTTCGGAATTTGCACTTGTGATCACTTTCATGCTTTCTACAACGCCTTTCACACTTTCATGCTCCAGCATAGCATATTCTCCTTCAGTGTTTTGTCTGACAATGACGATATCAATATTTTTATGACGCGAATTCACTCCTGAATATGATACGCAGTGCAAGACGTTTACATAAAGATCCAACTGATTTCGGAGAGCAACGTTTCGAGAAAGTACCTCAGCCTCTGTGCTACGAGTTTCGATGTTTCCCTTTAATGCTACACCATTTCTACGAATCGATGTGATAGCATAATGCAAGTCATCATTGTCATCTGCGTTTGGGTCGATTTCAATATCCTCAAAATCTACTGGTACACCTGCATAACTGAAAACCTATAAATATATTAAAAAAAATTATAT